GACTTCCGCCTTCTTGACAGCCGCACAAAATATGGGCCTTAAAATAAACGAGGAAAAAACCAAAATGTTAGCATCTATTCCAAATAACAGAGATAGAGCTAGAAACGCCGAACAAAACTTCAGTATAGACCAATATAATTTTGAGGTAGTAAATAAGTTTACATATTTGGGTTCTCTCATAACAAACGATAATGACACATCTGAAGAAGTTAAACGGAGGGTACTGCTAGCAAACAAATGTTATTTTGGACTAAGCAAGCAGCTAAAAAACAGAAATTTAAGCCAGAAAACCAAACTAATAATATATCGAACACTCATCCTACCAGTGCTGACATATGGGTCAGAAACATGGACCATCTCCAAAACAGACGCAAATCTTCTGCTCGTCTTCGAAAGGAAGATACTAAGAAGAATAATGGGCGCATTCTGTGAGAATGGTATTTGGAGAAGGCGATATAATTTCGAATTGTACGAGAAGTATAAAAAAATAGTAAATGGTAGAGATGTAATATCCTTCATAAAAATAGGTAGGCTTAGATGGGCTGGACATGTGTCAAGAGCAAATGAAAATTACCCACCCAGACGAACTCTATTATCGGTCCCAGTGGGAAATAGGAGTAGAGGCAGACCACGACTGAGATGGAGGGACGGTGTGGACGAGGACGCAAGGAAGATCGGCGCGGCAAATTGGCAACGGTTGGCGATGAACAGAAACGACTGGCGAAATAGACTGGGGAAGGTCAAGGCTCAACTAGAGCTGTAGTACCACTGATGATGATGAATAATAAAATATCAATAAATAACTCTCTGATTAAATGTGTACACATAAAACCGTACAACTGAGTTAAAAGGGAGGATTTAAAACCTCAACCAACTTAGTCCCTAAATATGATTCGGTATTATTTTAGAAAAAATGACGTTTTTTTTGTTATTATGTAAAAATAGTATGATTTAACGTTCAAAAAAAATATTATAAAAAAATTAAAACTAATGAATAAACTTAATACAGGTTTACTATATTCTACACTCTGAAGAAGGGAGATACTTCCTGCTGGTTTCTCAAAGTTGTCCGGGAATAATAAGGTCAGATCTGGACCTCTGGGGAACAGCTACGTCAGAAGAAAATCAAACTTGGAACAAGGTGTAACTCCGACTAGGTATTAACTTAAACCTTCTTCTTAAAAAAAATATTCCAAAAAACAAAATAAACAAATTCTTCCCCTGACTTAATTGACTTAAATGACTTAAAATGGATTAATTACATAGACGATTTTAACGAAAATCATGCTATGGATATTAATATATTTTATAATATAAAAGAACGGTATTAGACAGAATATTTTTATCGATACTCTTAATAATATATATATATATATATATATATATATATATATATATATATATATATATATATATATATATATATATATCCGGTTTTTTTAGGGCGTTACGCCCGTCCGGTAGGAATCTATGGAGGAGTATCACCGAGCCGCAAGCCCTTATCTCTTGCCGTACTGCTCCACCATAGGCCGATCAGACCCCAGCATATTCTAGTCTAAGCCGCAGATTCATCTAGAATTTTAAACTGCTGCGTTAGACTTTTTGTTTTCTGTACACCGAGCTGGGGCTCGATCCCACATCCACTGAACCATTTGACAGTGAAGCGAATGAGAGGCAGCCGCACAGCCCGCTAAGCTATCTGACCGACCACTCTTAATAATAAATTGTTTTAAAGATAGATAATGATGTTTTTAAGGCCGGAAAGTAAAATTAAAATACATATGATTTTATATCAATAACTAAGAAATAAATAAGATGCTGAATATTTCTTAATGAAATGATGTGAAAAATTTCAGAAAGATATATCGACTATCAAATAATGAAAAAAATGACAATACTTTAGAAAATCGAAATGATTGATGGTTTTTATAGTTTTGTTTTATTGATAATTGGATACACTTACCGGCTCAGAGTGGCTCTAAACCAAACAGGACACTAAAAAAAACCAACTAAAACTTCCTGCAACTTCTTCGTAAAAAAAAAACTTTAATATTCTAAATAAAAAAACCTTTTAAGCCTTCTCTGGCCCCTACCTTTAAACCCAAGTGTCTCTAACGAACTTTGAAGCAGAAATGGGCAATGGGTACTTGTTTTGAGTTAGCTAAACTATGGTTGCAAACATGGACGCTTGGTGTCGCTGTTTAATACCAATTTAAAATTTAAGAATTAAGAAAATCATTAAGAGGATTTGAATTTAAAAAATTTATTTAAAAATGGAAAATTGGAAAATGTATTCAAACAGCTTGACTGGGAGGAAAAAGGTGTAAACATTGATGGTGTACGTTTGAGTCATTTGAGGTTTGCGGATGACATAGTATTATTTAGTACATATATCAAGGAACTGGAGCAAATGTTGAAGGAATTAAACCAGCAGTCAAATAAAATAGGTCTCAAAATGAACCTGCAGAAAACAAAAATAATGAGTAATTTACAAACTAATCTTGTTATTGACAACGTCAGTCTTGAAAATGTAGACCACTATATATATCTTGGACATACCATTAAAATCGGCAAAGAAAATCAAATAGCCGAAATAAAAAGACGCATACAACTGTCTTGGGGAGCTTTCGGCAAATTAAGCTTTATTTTGAAGAATAAAGATATACCAATGTGTCTAAAACGTAAAGTTTATGACAAATGTATCTTGCCTGTAACTACATATGGACTGGAGACCATGGCCTTCACAAAGAAAACCTTAGAGCAGCTCAGTACAACCCAAAGAGCAATGGAGAGGGCCATGCTAGGGATTAGTTTGAGAGACAGGATTCGAAATAACGTCATTCGTGAAAGAACAAAAATTACTGATGTCTCAGAACGTATTGCAAGGCTCAAGTGGCAATGGGTCGGACACGTTGCCCGAGATAATCCCGAAAAATGGACACAAAGATTAACAAACTGGAGACCAAGAGAGAACAGGCGAGGAGTAGGCAGACCGCAGAAGAGGTGGACAGACGATATCAAACAAGTCGCGGGCAAGCAGTGGATGAGAATTGCCAAAAGTAGAAATCGATGGAAGCAAATGGAAGAGGCCTATGTCCAGCAGTGGACGAACACAGGCTGAAGAAGAAGAAGAAGAAGAAGAATTTAAAAATGATATTGAAGTGACGGACTCGTTACATCATTTTAAAATTGACATGCTTGACCTTTATCTTGTAGGCAAACAACACGTAAATGGATGAAAAATTCTGAGGGTGGTGTGTTTACCCTAGGAATATCAAATTCTGACTGTTTTGTATACTTTGTGTTATATGTTCGTGTAAAAACTGTATCAGACTTGTGACTGAGTAACGTAAATTGAGCAAGAGTAGATGTGTGTATTGTATATTGCATACGTATTTTGTATAAGGTTGTAGGTGATATTTTCGACCTCCTTTTACTCCGCTTTTGCAAAGACTGCTATATTCTGCTGATGGGTTTGCTACACATTTTTCTTCGTTGAGTAGTATGAGGGCTGCTTCTTTGACTTTTCTCTTTTTCGAGTCTTTTTCTTTCATCATTAATTACGCATCTTTCCATTCTGGTCTGTGATATAACACAAAATACACAAAACAACCAGAATTTGATATTTTTAGGGTAAAAACACCACTGCCTGATGTTCATGGTTTTAAGATGGCATTGGCGAAGGAAAGTATCCGACAGGGCAGAATGGAAGAACATTGTTAAGCAGGCCAAGACTCACAAAGGGTTGTAGCGCCTGTTGTAAGTAAAGATCGAGGTCAAGCATGTCTAGTTTGAAATGACATAACCCATAACAAATATCTTTGGTTATGCATTTTTTCCAAAATTTGTATAATAATCTTTTTTGAAAACGATTTCCGGCGTAGAATGCGAGGCGTTAAACATTAATGAGTTAAAAATATTATTTTCATTACAACCCAGAATTGTGGCATAATCCCATATAAACATAATATTTAAATTAGACATGCTACAAGGAAGTAGTTTCAGAGTGTTTTAGTAATATTTACTATATCGTTGACATATTATACAATACTTTATTTTAAAAACAACAAACATAATATAAATCCCAGTAGGGATATTTTTTCTAACAAATATCGAAGAGTTTGTATATTGCCTAAATTTGTAACAAACATGGGTGGGGGTTGAATACTTTTTTTTACCTTTACCAATTCCGGTTTGATAGATCTTTTTACCAGTTCCGGTTGGTGTAGGTGCCTTGAGCCAGTAATCAGTTATAGTTGTCTGTTTTAATTGTTTATCAGCTTCAGGGTTGTCATTTCTTACTATTTTGCAGGATCGAACAGCTTCCATTCTGGCTCATGATTTTCATGGCTATTTTGTGGATTAGTGTTATATAGTATCACTATTGGTAAAAAGAAGAAGTATGGTTAGAAATAATTGAGTTGTTCAATTATTGTTCGTGTTGATTTTCAGTCGCCTCCGTTTTCTTGATGGTTGTTGCTTGGTATTTATTTGCAAGATAATGGTTTTTTCTTACGAAGTTGATGTTCTCATCGAAGATTTTATACAAACTACTAAATTAATAAAGAAATTTGCAAAAGCGTATTTAATGTAGTGCATATTTAGGTAACAAGTTTAGCATGGAATTGGATAATATTTAGTATTTTTGCCACACAATTTCCTTTTTGATATTTATAGCATTTTCTTTCTTCCTATGCATTATTATAATACTCATGCAGTAATAGATTAAAATATCGAGATGGCCTCCATGTCATTTTTATCACACTGAGACTCTACGTGTAGTTTGGTGGTATTTTGCTGCTCATTAACTAGAGGTAGACTGAATACAAAAGATTGTGTCTAACAACCTAAAACTAGTTAAGCGGTATGCTTTTTATTATTATCAAATAGGTTTTATCAATTATTTAAAATCGTATAAAATTTACTTTCAAATCGATTGTCTGTTAATATGCCTTAAAGGGAGTAAACATTCCATTCTAACATATATTTTTTTATTACAGCAACAGCCGGGAACAAAGGAATAAAGCAGAAAAACAAAGGAGGGACAGACTGAACTCTTATATCGGGGAGCTAGCTTCTTTAGTGCCCATGGTAGCAAGAAGTGCTAAAAGGTTAGATAAAACCAGCATCCTCCGACTGACTGCAACACATTTAAGGATCAAACAACGTACGTATTTTTTTATTCTCTATCAAATTCAGAATGTTAAAGACCATCCTACTTTGTTAAAGGTCTGATTTGTTTGGTGTTAAATTGTCTTTACTAAATAGAAAACTGTTGATATCTGAAACAAAATAAAATTGAGATTAACAGAATATATTTTGGTAGATCTAACAACAATTATATATCAATAAAATCAACAATTGTCCTTTGTTTAAGATTAGTGTTTGTTACTTTTTTGACATCTTCTTGTGAGGATATTCCTTTATTTGTCCAACTTTATAGGTTTTGTAGGTAAGTTTTAAAAGGAGAAAAGGTATTTATTGTTTGAACTGTCCTTCTGAGCCTCTGGAACAGCAGCAATTGTGAAAAATTTTACCTTGTTTAGTTGCCTTGATTATGAAAAGGAAGTTTGAAGTAATAATGATAATTTTTATTAGTTTAATCCAGTAATCCAGTACAGAATATGTTATTGTGTGAATAATTTTGCATACCACCCGAATTTGCATTCTTCTTTATTTTTCTGATGTGTAAAAGATACAAAACATCCCTTCTGTTCATAGATTTAATATATTATTATGTACTTATTTGCACCTTATTGAAATAAATCAAGGTATAAGCAGTTACTGTTCATTTTGGAAATGGTTATCTTGGTTGTTAACCTGAATCCATGTTGTTAATCAGATTCTATTTATCTTCTGCTATTTTAGCACATTGCCTAAGTGAAGCACCGATAGTAGCAACAATATGGTCCGTGTATCTATCTAACTGTTCATTTTTTGCATTCTACTGTTCCCGAGATGGTAAGTGTTCCAAGAACATTTCCTCGCATTCTTAATTCTTCTCAAACTTATCAAAGACTAATCTCAAATTAGTCTTTTCTTTATAGCTAAAAGAAATAATAAATAAGACTTACCCACAATCAGTTTAATTTAACTATCTAGATAGTTAAATTAAACTGTTTGTGAGTAAGTCTTATTTATTATTTCTTTTACCTATTTGAAATGGACTCACACAAGCAACACATTCATGATTCTTTTCTTTATGTTTGGGTGATTCAGTATAGATTCGTTGTTTCGTTGGGTACCCATGATATTCTCAGAACATTTCAAATGCGTCTATAATATTTATATCGTTCTCCATAAGGGTGCAGTATTCCGATGCGTAAGTTATTATAGTTAACTATTATACATAGTTATTTCACGGTTTCTAAAATTTGTTATTAATTTTGTCATAAAGCTTTTTTCAATTGCTGAACGTGGCAGCTTAGTGGCTATGTTACTGACTTAACAAGCTGGAAGACCCGAGTTTGAATCCCGGCTCCGACATTAACTGACTAAACCGACTAATTTAACTGAGCTGTCACCGTGATTCGGAGGGCACGTAAAGCCGTCGGTCCCGGCTGCGAAAGTAATCGTTAAGTCATGTTAGGGGAGGTTGCGCTACCTGAAAACATTAACACTAGACCTTAGCCAGAGGGTTACACGAACTTTATTTTAATTGCTGAGCGGTGCTTTATTTCTTCAGTACATTCCTCCTTGTTAGATAGTAAAGAGTCCAGATTCACAAATTTATGCACAATAGCTATATTATTTATTACCCTTACATAATTTTGATTGTGGAATATCATGGTCGTTGTTTTGTCTGTTTATTTTAAGACCTTCTTCTTCTTTAAGTGCCATTTCCGCGCCATATTCTGACTTTCGAGGCAGCTGCTCGAAACAATTGCCTTGAGCTGCAACCAAACCACTCTCTCATGTTCTTCAACCAGGAAACGCGTCTTCTCCCTACGCTTCTCCTACCTCTATTTTTTCTTGAATTATGAGTCTCAAGGTGTTGTGTCTTTCGCCTCTCATCACATATCCGAGATATTGCAATTTCCTTTCTTTTATTGTATTTTCCATTTCCCTCTGACTATTCTTCTTGACACTTCTGTATTCGTGACTCTATTTACCCATAGAATCCTTAACAATCTTCTAAATGTCCACATTTTAAACGCGTTATGTCGATTTATTGTATTCCGGTTATAATAGTTATTTTCTGTGATTATCGTTCCCAAGTAAGTATATCTTTTTACTCTCTCAATCTACTGGCCGCCTACCGTTAATATTTCATTCGTATTGTTGTTCTTGCTAATTTTCATGAATTTGGTTTTTTTGATGTTAAGAGAGAGTCCGTCTTCTCCACTATATCTTAACTTCCGTTCGTTTTTATGCCGACTGTCTCGTTTACCAAAGCTTCTTGTATGATTTCTTCAAAATAAGCATTAAACAATAACGGCGACAGTATGCAACCTTAACTGACCCATCTCCTTATCTCTACTTCTTCTGACACTTCTCTTCCAATTTTCACATTTGATCATTGGCGGTAGCAGAAATTTGATATCAATGTTACATCCCTCCCATCCAGATTCTTGTTTTTTGGAGTACGGTCATGTTTTACTTTATCGAATTCCTTTGTGTAGTCTCTAAAGCATACATAAAGATCTCGATTGACATCCGAACATCGTCAGCATTTCGCGTGGAATGATTCCTGTGGAATAGATTGTGTTCAGTAGTTGGACTAAAAGATCTATGTTTTTTCCATGGACTTTATTGCAAGCATAACGTCTGACATGATATTTCGAAGAAGTGTGAAGTCCATTATCTTTGGATTACCTGTAGCAAACAAAATAAGAACTAAATAAGATATGCATAAATAATTTTCTTTGTAAAATATATTCGAGTGAAATTAGTGAAACAAGACAATGCGAGCGGGTTTTCCAAATGGATTTGTACAGTAATTAGGATAATAGAATAGATGTTTAGGTTGGTCATATCTTGGACCACCCAAGATATGACCATCTTTTCATCTCTCAGCCGTCGGTCCCGGCTGCGAAAGTAATCGTTAAGTCATGTTAGGGGAGGTTGCGCTACCTGAAAACATTAACACTAGACCTTAGCCAGAGAGTTACACGAACTTTATTTTAATTGCTGAGCGGTGCTTTATTTCTTCAGTACATTCCTCCTTGTTAGATAGTAAAGAGTCCAGATTCACAAATTTATGCACAATAGCTATATTATTTATTACCCTTACATAATTTTGATTGTGGAATATCATGGTCGTTGTTTTGTCTGTTTATTTTAAGACCTTCTTCTTCTTTAAGTGCCATTTCCGCGCCATATTCTGACTTTCGAGGCAGCTGCTCGAAACAATTGCCTTGAGCTGCAACCAAACCACTCTCTCATGTTCTTCAACCAGGAAACGCGTCTTCTCCCTACGCTTCTCCTACCTCTATTTTTTCTTGAATTATGAGTCTCAAGGTGTTGTGTCTTTCGCCTCTCATCACATATCCGAGATATTGCAATTTCCTTTCTTTTATTGTATTTTCCATTTCCCTCTGACTATTCTTCTTGACACTTCTGTATTCGTGACTCTATTTACCCATAGAATCCTTAACAATCTTCTAAATGTCCACATTTTAAACGCGTTATGTCGATTTATTGTATTCCGGTTATAATAGTTATTTTCTGTGATTATCGTTCCCAAGTAAGTATATCTTTTTACTCTCTCAATCTACTGGCCGCCTACCGTTAATATTTCATTCGTATTGTTGTTCTTGCTAATTTTCATGAATTTGGTTTTTTTGATGTTAAGAGAGAGTCCGTCTTCTACACTATATCTTAACTTCCGTTCGTTTTTATGCCGACTGTCTCGTTTACCAAAGCTTCTTGTATGATTTCTTCAAAATAAGCATTAAACAATAACGGCGACAGTATGCAACCTTAACTGACCCATCTCCTTATCTCTACTTCTTCTGACACTTCTCTTCCAATTTTCACATTTGATCATTGGCGGTAGCAGAAATTTGATATCAATGTTACATCCCTCCCATCCAGATTCTTGTTTTTTGGAGTACGGTCATGTTTTACTTTATCGAATTCCTTTGTGTAGTCTCTAAAGCATACATAAAGATCTCGATTGACATCCGAACATCGTCAGCATTTCACGTGGAATGATTCCTGTGGAATAGATTGTGTTCAGTAGTTGGACTAAAAGATCTATGTTTTTTCCATGGACTTTATTGCAAGCATAACGTCTGACATGATATTTCGAAGAAGTGTGAAGTCCATTATCTTTGGATTACCTGTAGCAAACAAAATAAGAACTAAATAAGATATGCATAAATAATTTTCTTTGTAAAATATATTCGAGTGAAATTAGTGAAACAAGACAATGCGAGCGGGTTTTCCAAATGGATTTGTACAGTAATTAGGATAATAGAATAGATGTTTAGGTTGGTCATATCTTGGACCACCCAAGATATGACCAACTTTTCATTCTCAGGGCCGATGCTTCCATAAAAAAAATTGCAGGGGTGTTATCACAGATCCAAGACGATATAGAGGTGCCAATCTGTTTTGTTTCCCGTGTAACCAAAACGCATGAGAGAAAATACAGCGTTACTGAATTAGAGTTTGCCAGTATGTTATTTTGTGTAAATAAATTACGTTTTTACCTACTTGGGGCAAACCACTGAAACACTGAAACAGACCATGCAGCGTTGGTACACATAATGAAAAATAGGCTGGTAAATAATAGAATTCATAGGGGCATTCTTTTACTTCAAGAATATGATTTTGAATTTAAATATATCAAAGAAACTGACAATATCTTGCCTGATGCGTTGACGAGAGATGAACAATTCCGCAAAGAGGATCAGAAAACTCTCCACGTAGGCATGAACATAATAAGAGAAGAAGCAGGCTTATTTTCTTTGGCTCAAATCAGGGAAAATCAGGAAGAATTGGATGAAAGAGAAAAGCAAAGGGCTGAACAAGAAAATAACTTATATTTTAAGAGGGTCGATGGTAAAGAACTATATGTAATCACGGAGCAAATGGCAAAAGAAGTTTTTTTAAGTTACACTGTTCCAACGATATTGGAAGCAGGAAGGTGTGGCTCATGTTCAGGGAGAAATTGGGTGACTCGAAATTGTGTGACATGCCAAAAGTTTAAAAGTAGAACTT